CAGGAGGGATCTGATTTTCTATTCGATAGCTCTTGTAACCAAACAAAATTGAAGACTAAAAATTATGGTTTGTCTGAGCAATAATGATTTTATAGAGAGTAATTTACGTTTAATTTCTAACTTTTTCAAGGGGTGATGTATAAAACAGGGATAATGATATGCTAAGAGAAAATGTGTCATGTGGGTCACTAGTAGAAATTCAGGATTTTTTTATATATTTCTTTGTAGAATTAATAACTTAAAAACTTAAAACTTGTATGCTATTAAAATATGGATTATTAGCTTAATTTTTTTTTGCTATTTTAATTGGTATAACATAATATAGGACACTAAAACCTTGTATCATGCTCAGTAAAGGATATCCTGGGCATAATGGTTAAAGCACCAAGCTGGTCATTTCTGTGAAATGTGGATAGCTGTTACTATTGAATTCAAGTTTGAGTCAAAACACTTCCAGTAATTATATGTTACATAATTACTTCTGATTATAAAAACATACATTTTCCTTGAAATATTTTTTTTTCTGATGAAATTTAATGAGGAGACCTCATGATAAATAGGTTCTGTTAACTTTTAATGTCATGAAGGATAAGATATATTTTTTCTTTTTATCATTATATGTTAAAAATTGTCTTTTCTCTTCCCTTTGTGTTAGATATGTTTTGACACTATTCAATGATGGGATGAGAAGTGTAAGGAATTTTAGCTTTGACCGAGCAGCAGCAAGTGTTCTAACTACTTGTGTAAGTTTTAGTCTAAAGAACAGATTAAGCATATTCAGTGATTATGTGTTTACAGATTATTATTACAATAACTAAGTTTATATATTTTTAAAACATTGTTCTAAGTTAGGAAAAGTTAATACATGTTAACAGATTATTATTACAATAACTAAGTAGTTTGTATGTTTTAAAATGTTATCATAAATATGATACAAAATAAGGAAAAGTTAAGGAAGGTTTTAGTAAAATTTATCAGTGCCTTTTTATGGAGATGAAGAGAATGTTTTAACATATTTCCAGATTACAATTTCGACTGGAATATAATCAAGTTGTATCAGAATATGTCTTCATTTTTAGTATTAAGGGTTGAATAAACACACATTCATTTTCTACCAGGATAGGAATGAAATTAGTTATTATGATAAAACAAATATTCTTTTGACCTCTCTGAATAAAGAACAGCAGATTCTAGTTTGAAAAGTCAAGGAGAATGCATTTAAAACATATATTAAACTTTAAATACAAAACTGTACCTTTTTTGATAGCTTTAGGTCTTCAAGATAACTTTGATACATTCTATTTCCTTGTCATACAGTGGTCAGGGTTTTCATGATATTCAAACTTTCTTTCTCGTGACAAGTTGACGTGATTCATCATGGGACATGCAATTTCTAATTTTGTTTGCATCTTTTTAACACAAAACTGTGCTACACACTTTAGAACAATGATTGCAGTATAAGAATGACAGTCAAATTCCACTATCCAACTATAGAAGTCCACAAGTCACCAGTGGATATTGTTGAATGACTGCTTTCCATATTTACATATTTTATTTCATTACTGTTTATCTCAGTAATTTGTTTTTTCCGTGTTTTTGTGCCATGTAACTTTTCAGTTTCTTTCTTTTGCTTTTGGTTGCAATTTGTTCACATTTTTAGCATATGAATTTGAAATTGATTAAGACTGCTTATCCTGCTTGTGGTAATTAATTTTCTTCCTTTCTTACTCTGCAGGAGTTGAGTTAGTCTTGCCTTTTTCTTCAGAATGTTTAGTGATGCTTTGTATTCTCTTAGTCTTGTTCCTTTTAGTTGTCAGATGACTCCTGAGTTTTCTTGGTGGTGGTTGGTCAGAAATGTTTATATGAAATTGAGTTCTTGCTCATCACGATGCTGGGATACATTTTTTTGAATCTCTGTTATTCTTCTGCTTCCTTTTGTGGTTTGAGGGTGTTTGTTAGAGAATAGAGTTAAGATATGAAGAATTAGCACATGATTATCTTGTGTTAGCAAGAGCATTAAATGGACAAAACAGTACATCATAAAAACATTTGAATATCTTGGAAGAACCATAATGTCAAATAATCACTCAGCTATATTGTACATGTGAGTTCATTATTAAATACCAGAAAAAAACAATCTTATAAATGTCCTATCATCTCTTGGACATACAATTATTAATAAATAGTGAAGAAAACCATTTCATCAACTAACCTTCTAGTCATCTCTCCGATTCAAGATTATTAATAAGTACTGGAAAAAAAAACTTCAACAAATAAATCTTTGGTCACTACTTGGATTAAAGAATATTACTAAATACTGGATAAAAACCAATATACTTGACTGGTCATCTTTTGTATTCAACATGATTAATAATAACCAGAAAAGCCACCTCCTTCAGATAAATGGTCATCTATTCTATTCAAAATCGCTAACCCTTTCACAATGGGTAGGTCAAAGTGTACGTCACAAACTTTTACAGAGTTACATTCAAAATTTAATTAAACTACTCTATTATCAATGTATATGAATAAACTTGCATCAAAACGTAGTTAATAAACCAAATATTAATATTATATAAGTTTTAAGTTCTTAATTTTATAATTAAATATTTAAAAAATCCTCAATTTCACATAGTATGAGAATAGTGACATTTGCTCTCCAAGTTTTCCTTATTCTCTAATTTATATACTATCCCTCTGACAAGTATGGAATTTAATGTAAGTTACATATTATAATATAGGTATTACTCAGGTAAAGGATAATTTTTATAACCTTCAATTTAATTTGTTTACAGAACCATAAACTAGAAAATCAGACCCACTTACCATGCCCACCTGTCACATCCTCTCTTTCACAAATTGCCAATAGTTCTTTCTGACATTTTATACTATATTATTTATAATCAACAGAAAGCCAAAGTTTTGTTCTATCGATTGACATAGTACACAGTTTTTTGTACAGAGCATTGTGTATTTTATTGTTCAGTTTCAAATTTATTCTTATTAGAATCACATTGACAAGCTTAGCTGAATCTTTAAACATTTTATTGCATAAATTAGAAAGCCAAAAAAGTTTTGATAATTATAGGACATTGTTTTTTGAAAGTTATTATTCCTGTATTCTTAGATGCAGTACTTAATTAAATGAAAAATATCAAACCATTTTCTCTCCCATATAATCCTCTTATTAGAGGGTTCCCTCGTTAAGGTTTCTTTAGGACAATTTCAAAGGATGCTTCTAATTTTTCCCTTACACTGGTCCCTCAACCTATTCAATGTGGGATTCTAGATACGCATGTGAGCAGAAGAAAGGTACTTGTCGGAAGTTATAATTTTCCTGACAGATACTTACTTCCACTCACACTTCCTATACTTCCTCCCCACTGTCAACTGGTGCTTCTGTTTTTGCCTAAACTCAAAGTAATAGTTAGGTAGAATAACATATAGTGACTCACACGAGTATGTGACACTACTATCGGTGGAGGTTTGTTACATGATAATTTGCATGCGAGAATCAGTTAAACCATGTAAATCGAGGGGTATGTGGGAGTGAAGGGCTTGTGGCATGCAAAAAAGTTTTGCAAAGAGAGGGCACCACTGAACAAGAATAACTGTATATGAGCATAAGTAAGTACCTGTCGCAAATACATTTTCAGTGTAGGAAAATTATAACTTTAGAAGTTTCAAATGAAGAAAAGTATTTTTATGGTTATGAGTTACATGGTGGTTACGAGGTTGTGTAAAATATGTGAGCCTATTGGGAAAGGGTTAATTAAATGCTTGAAAAAACACTTCAACAATAAATTTCTGATCATTAATAGATAGTAGCAGATATTCTGCCCTATGGGTGACCATTTGTGCTACTAATTACTAATCATAATACTCGTACCTCATCGAAAAATATTTAGAAAAAGTGAACATTTTCTAAAAAAAGGTTTTTTTCTGGGAAGTACTGCATGGGAAAAGTTTTCATATTGTGCTCTTTAGTTATATGCAGCTCATTGTATCAAAATGATTCAATATACAGAGCTCAAAATTTTCATAAATATGCTTTTGTTTTTGAGTTTATAAATTACTAGTTTCAATATTACAAAAATAAGAAAATGTTTAGTAGATGTCTGTTGAAGATTGTGATGTATTTACTCAGATGACAATCTGTGAGGAAGGATATTTATTCTTGGGTTCACGACTTGGGAACTCCCTGTTACTTCGATATATGGAGAAAGTAAAAGATACAACTGCAGAAGAGAACAAAACAGAAGACAAGGTATGTGTATTCATTATGTTTGTAACTAACTAGGGACCAGAAAGGAAGATAAGGTAGATGTATCCATTCTGTTTAAAACTAGAGACCAGAAGGGGAAGACAAGGTAGGTGTATCCATTCTGTTTAGAACTAGAGACCAGAAGGGGAAGACAAGGTAGGTGTATCCATCATGTTTAGAACTAGAGACCAGAAAGGAAGACAAGGTAGCTGTATCCATCATGTTTAGAACTAGAGACCAGAAGGGAAGATAAGGTAGATGTATCCATTCTGTTTTGAACTAGAGACCAGAAAGGAAGACAAGGTAGGTGTATCCATCATGTTTAAAACTAGAGACCAGAAGGGAAGATAAGGTAGATGTATCCATTCTGTTTGGAACTAGAGACCAGAAAGGAAGACAAGGTAGGTGTATCCATTCTGATTAGAATTAACATCTTAGATACATACACTCACTGACATAAATTAATCAATAATATCTAAACTAAACAGTGTTTCATATCATGACAGTTTACCTTCTATGACTAAAAAGGATTATATTTTTCATAGGTTTACAAGATTCACAGAGATATGTGAAATTTATCTGACAAAGGTTATTTCTTCTTTATTGATCCTGTTCTTTTGCTTATTAATTAATGACAGATAAATGTTTGATTATATGTTGAAGTATTTGAACTTGTTACATATTCAAAATGTTGATGTTTTGAAATGTCTTTTACTCATACAGTAATCCTATATTTACATGTATTTAGGAATTTTAAGAATATGCAACATTGATGCTACTAATTTATTTTCTAATTTACTCTTATGAATCATTCAGCCAGACAAACTACTTGCTTTGAAACCCAATATATCATTTTATTTACCACTTATCAGTGAGTTATACTGGTTTCTGGAAATTCCAACCCTCATCAGTATCCCTGGAGAAGAGCAAATTCAATGAATAAGACCTGGTTTAAGTTAATGGTAGACTGTATATTTATGAAGTTTTGAAATTCTTTTACTCATACAGTAATCCTATATAATAATTCACAACAATAAATCAATAGCATCAGTATTGCATATTCTTCAATTTCCTAAATTAATGAGGAAACATGTGTAAATAAAAGACATTTCAAAATACCGTACATAATGTACACACTCCGTGTTGGCTTCACATCTTTTGGGGGGTATTGTGTATTTTTGTACTTTAAACAAAGATTTGAATTTAAATTTTAATTAGAACTTAATGTTTTATCTACAAGTAGAAGATTTAGAATTTTCAAAGTTTTGTACACTTAATGTTTAATAACTAAACTGCTTAATTACAATTTTAAAATTGTTTTATCTGTATATCTCTTCTTTCTTTTCTGTTATCTAAGTGGAGTTTGACGAATTAACTGGTATATTTTTATGTTAAAGATGGGTAGACTCATTCAACTTGATGAAGTAACATGATAACAAAACCAGTGAGTGTTTTATTTTTAATTATATAAATCTTGTTTTAGAACACACCAGGAGAGCCACCTACTAAAAGAAAGAAACTGGAAACTCTAGGAGATTGGATGGGTAATTCATTTTGATTGTTTTTTTAATAAACAGTGAATGATTAAAGTAAACTTATAAGAGAAAACAAAACTTGAAAAATTAATATTGGTTTTAAATCAGTGTTATTATTTATACTTTGAAGTGATTTATGTTAATTTTTTATATTAATTGTATTACATGGTTTGGTGATGTTTTCGTTTTTGTAGCATCTGATGTGGCATTAATAGAGGATCCAGATGAACTGGAAGTGTATGGTACTGCTATGCAAGCAACAAAACAACTTACAGCTTTCACTTTTGAGGTAACTAACTCATTTTTATATTCATATCTTAGCTTATGTCACGTGATCTCTTTGGTAAGACAGGGTGTAGGGTAAGGTTTTACTAGATTGTGTACAAATGGAACTTGAGATACTATTATACAAATAATAAAACATTTTTTAACATTAGGTAATAACAAAGTCAATCATTAGATGTAATAGAGAAGTTACTTCAGTGAATATTTATGTACAAGTCTATTGTTCTTGTAATATATTGCCATGATACAATGGAATAAGTTGAAAAGATCTAACCAAGTTTAGAAGTGTGCTACTGAACTTAATTGTTTACTAGCACATAACAGACTACTACAGTCCATATCTTACTTTTAACATCTATTTAATTTATTTACATTTTCATGTCATAACAAGCTTCTTGACCACTACTATATCCCAGGTAGCCTGCTGAGCCCTGGTGTTGGGCTAAAGACTTCATTGGCACTGGATATACCAGATGTATTGTGTTTGACTTATTGTTACACATTCTTCTTTAATTTCACTCTAAGTTCTTAGAATAGCATACTGGATAGTGGGCATGCATACTCATCTGTTTACCTCAATCTGAGATTGACCTTACATGGGTCAGTTTCATTAATTATTTCAACCATGTTGTGTGGACTGTTGGAAATCTTGTGTAAATACTTTGAACCTTTTCCCTAACTATTTACTCATATCTGTACCATTTAGTCTGATTGTTGTTTTGAACCACATGCTAGCTTTGCAACCACTTGTCCCTGAGAATCAACACTTGCAAAGCAGACTTTGGGCAAAAATCAAGAACATCGCTGCAACAACCAAGAGTTTCCTCCCAAGATTAGGTGGACATTTTTAAACTATGTGAGCTCATTGTTGTTAGAACTAGAGGAGTGGTTAACTATTAATTCTGCTTCACTTATGATGTCATCAGCACGAGTGCTTGTTTATACTAACACTGTGGTACATATTCATTCAAACCCCCACCTAGTGTTATCTTGGAAAAATAACTTCAAAATATCGGTTATCTTTCAATTGTTGTTCTATAGCTTATTCTGCTATTAAACTTGCATCATTCACTTATTGTTTTGCACACTATAGAGATAACTCTTTATGTTTATGTCTGTTTTTGTTATTTTTTTCATTTTAACCCCTTATGTAGGTTAACTGTTGCATTTATATCTTTGTGTACTTGTATTACATATTGTGTAGATAAATTGTTGTTTTTCTGTTATTAAACCCCTTATACAAATAAAATTTACTTATATATTTGCTTGCTTTTTGTACTAAACATGGGCATGGGTTGGCCAAATGATAGAGTTATGGATTTGAATCTATGCAGTACTTTAAGAAATGTTGTT